AAAATAGTTGGGCAAACTAAATACACTGTTTTGTAGAAGAAATTTTTTCTTCTTCTACAAAACCAACTTCTCAGAACATTTTTGAGTTAAGAAGTGATACGAACTTATCCGGCAACTAAAGAAAATGCAGCGTAGTGCTACAAAATCAAGATGTCTTTTTTTCTGTGTTTTTCCATATGAACATTAGGATCTACCCAGTAGTTACATTACTCATAAACAATGAAAAACTTTGCATTTAAAAGTCTCAAAAGCAACTCATACTATTTCATACCTACACACCATTATCTGATCCTTTAAATGGCCGCTCAACCATTCCAATGTGACTGATTATCTGCCGGATATGAAAAATATCGAGTGAAAGGAAAGTTTTTTAACATGATAATTTTACAGAAGTCGCGAAATGATGGAGGAGGAATGTAACCGCCTTCGGGCTCTGCTTAGACTCTCGCCAGAGCCCAGTATCCCAGATGGTCACCAGGTACTTTGATGACTGTCTAGTGCTGTGGAGCTATAATTACAAATACGTTTCCTGCAGGATGCCGGCGTTCTGATTTTGCTAGATGGAATCCCCGATAATTATCGGGTCTTCTTGTGTATTCGATCAGAACAACTAAGGAGACACCCAGGAGAAGTTTGTTTCCCAGGAGGAATGCGTGACAATGGAGAAAATATGCAAGAGACAGCAATTAGGGAAGCGGAAGAGGTAGGATATCACGGGCAAAGGAAAAATCAGAGGAACCTAAGAAAAGGGGGGAACTACGAACAAAAAAATTAATTAATTATAAGATGTAGTTCAAGAAGCAATGTGTAGAGTTGCAAAAAATGCGAGATTTGAAAAGACAGTGTTGACATTACTGTAAAATGTTAGCTCAAGGATACCGACGCTCAGCTCTAATCCAGACAAATACTGCAAGACTATTAGTCGTAAAAAGAAGGGCACGTGGTAAACTCAAACGTAAAAACAATCTAACAATTTTGGATAATGCTTTGAATCCAAATACTTACTATATCTTTCCAAG